GTAGGTACAAAGAGTTTAATATTAATATTGATATGGACAACCCACAGTTCGATGTTGGGATGAAATTTCCAAGTAAAAAGGTCTTGAAACATGCTGTACAAATTTATGGAGCATTTGGGTCATATGAATGCAAGGTGGTGAAAAATGATAAGATTAGGTTGTCCGCTAAGTGCAAAGAAGGTTGTAATTGGAGGTTGTATGTTTCTAAGATGCTGGGAGAAAGTGAAGGAAACATGCATCTAATGTCTTGGAAATGAATTTTAGCCACAACATATACAACAAAAATATTTATAATGGCGGAATCATTTTGTTTAATCTAGTTGAGCTAATCCTATTTTATTTACCCAAGTATCTTGGATTTAGTCTCTTTGTGCACAAAAGGGAGAAAAGTTAAGCTTTTTACCCTTGAAGCTTTTCTTGGAAAGCCAAGAATGAACACCTTTGTTGGAAAGGCCTTCTATCTTCCTTTTCTTTCAAAGCTCTTCAACCAAAGACTCCGAAGTAGAAGTCCTCTACCTCACCACACCAAAATGGAGTAGAGATGGAGAGAAGGTCAACCAAGAGATTTGATATGCTAGACTCTCTCTTAGTTGGCCCAATTTTTGGCTAAGGAAGATGAGAGGAGAATGTCTCACCTACACATCAACACATCAACACATCAACACATCAAACTTGGAAAACCAAAAACCCTTACTAGGTTTTGAGACAAAGTGTGGCTTTTATAGAAAAGGCACATGAAGGAAGAGAGAGAACTCTCTCTATTGTGGCCCACCAAGAAAGGGGGGAGTGGGCCTCACTTGGTCCTTGAATTTGTGTTTTCATAATAGGCTTTTGGGTATTTTGCATTTTTTCATATTAAATCAAATTTGAAGCCCAACCCAATTCCAAATGTCAAAGTTAATTCTATAACTTGTAATTATGAATAATAACTTAACCATTAAGTTACACTTATAGTCTTACTATTTGACTCGGTCAATAACTTCGGTCAATAATGTTGACTTTGACCTTTGTCTTTTGGTTGTTGACTTTTGTCTTGTAGTTTCTTTCCTCTTCATTTGTTCCTCTAATCACATTTCTCAGTGTGTGATTCATATGTTCCTTTTAGCAAGGTAGTGGTTTGACTCAACTTCTCTGAGTTGATTTGC